TCATCCTATATACAACCCAAAAACCTAAAATCGAACAAGAGTTCAACTCAAACTCAGCTTCAGTTTATCTTGGTGATAAACTTCGATCAATACATGGACTCACTTGAACAATGCAGTTTCACAGGAGGAAGACATAGTTCCTTGGCAATTTGGTCGTTTTTGATTTTCTCAGCATAGTCTACAGTCTTTCCGTTTATCCATTCCGTGGCCAAGCTGCTTGATGCAATAGCAGACCCACAGCCAAATGTTTTAAATTTTGCGTCAATTATTTTCCCATTTTCATCAACCTAAAATCACAAATTGAGTATTGTATAGCTTCTTTTCATGTAACAACAAAAGGAGGTTGCGTGATGTTTTTCCCTTCAAATCACATTTAAACTTTGCATTGTCCTTCACCGTTGAGAAACTATGCATTTTGCAATGAAAATGCGATTGATATCTAGTAAGTCAAATAAAAGAAGAGAACTCAAACAAGTGACTTATGATAGACTACCGAGGAATATAGTATGACTTCTTCCTTATCGGTGGGAAAACACGATTATATTATATGTCACATAGCTAGTTACTGTGACTTACAAATGGCAGGTGACGTTCAACTTCTTTGTTCATGCTTAGTAATCAAAATCAGCAATACGACTATACTCACAGAAACACTAACCTTTATCTGCAATTTCATGACATCACCGCATGCAGGTGCACCGACGATGCCGGTGCCAACAGATGGATCGTTTTTATCGAGAGATCCAACATTGCGAGGGTTTTCATAGTGATCAATTACCTAAATGTACATTTTATCGACATTCCAGTACACTAAATCTTCTTAACCACCTTTTCGTGGTAATTTGCTTGAGAAGCGAGAACTGTCGGCCGTGTTTTCGACACGATTCGCATAGCATTTGTGACCAACGACATTCTAAATAAAATGTAGTGAAAAAATTATTAAGAGTGGATGGGGCAGAACACAGTGGAGTGAAAGCTTCATGAAACGGGACACATGATTTGTGGGCGGGTGGCAGTGTTGTTTCGAATGTGCGATCTTTGCAATAAAGAACCCAACTTTCGCACGCGATACAGCTGCATCGCCGCGTTTTTAAGCATTCACCGCGCGACGGAGTAATGCACTAGGACGCAATTTTGCGTATTTTCACTTATTTGTCTAACTGAAGCGTTGACCCTGACCTCTAATGGTCGTTTCGAATGGCTGCAGCGGGAAATACGAGAAGCAGCTGAAATTCCATCTTCTTTGGCATGGATGCGAATGGAAGTTTTGTTTCGAGATAGTGCCAGATCATTACTTATACTAAAGCGCTAAGTTTGTCTGTATGTATTGCGTGCATTTCTCTGTCCGTTACGAAAATAGTTCATTTGCCCTAAGGAAGTCAAAGAGCAGTTATCAATCGTTACATGTTAACTGCAGACCACTAAGTGAACATGAGGAATTCCGTTGTGAAAACGTGGTGTGGTTGTTCATGTGTTGCTATGGGGAGGCACAATGGTGGGACCAAGGCACTTTTCCTTCTGGCGTCAAAAAGTGAGTTCACTTAAAACCTTTCCGAAGGAGAGGTGAAGCGCTGCCATATGTGTTGGTTGGCTATGGAAGTGGACAGATGCAGTACCTTTATCAATCTCTATAAATTAGGGAAGGCGGTCGGATGGCGCGCTTTTTCCCGGCTGTCACTATATACACATGCTAATAACACAGTAAGAAGCTATTGACAAGCTTATGAGCTTTTCAAAAAAAA